GGCGGCGGGTCGGGCCTGCGCGCGCCCCCCGCCCTACGCCGGTCGGGACTCTGCGGCTGTGGCCGCCCCGGAGCCCCGTGAGCCGAGGGCCGAGGCGCGGTGGCTGGACGCAGAGGGTCCGTGCCAGCGCGCCGCGCCCGTGCCGGTCCCCGCACCGCCGCAGGTACCGGTGGGCGGGAGTGCCGATAAAGTTTCTTTCGCAGCAAAGATGGCGTCGAGGCTGCGCAAACTTTGGGCCCCAAAGGCGTGGCAGTGGGGGGCGGCCGCGTCGACCCGTGCGTGTCTGTGGCTCCGGCCCGGCAGAGCCCGGTGGCCGGGGGACGCTTCCCGCCGCCGGGCCGGGGGCGGGGCAGAGGGCGGGGCCTCGCGTCCGCCAGATCCGGGCGGAATCCCTCCGGCGGAATCGGGGGTGGGCGCTGGGGTCCGGGCGGCGCCCTGCACTGTCTTCCGCATCCGCAGGTCGCGTCCGTGAGTAGCGGCTTTGCGGGCTTGGAGTTCACTCTGCCGCAAGAGCTGCAGGCCGCGAACCCAGGGACTCCAGGCACTTGGGCGGGGAGGGCGGCGGGGCAGCGGACGCCTTCGGCGCAAATCCCCGTGCCAGCGCAAAGGTGAGCCGTGGTGCTGGTGCCCCGGGACGAGAGGGGTGTGTGCACACGTGCGTCAGCGTGTGCAAGGGCGGTGGGTGGGGCAGATTTCTGCCTCCAACCCTTCCGAGGGCAGGTCAGGGTCCAGAACGTGGTTTCTGTCTCCGATGATCCAGCCCTAATGGAGTTGAGCGGAGATCAGTGTATAGAGGGCAGAACAGCACCGGAGCCGGATGGCTGTCAGTTTCTCTGGAGAAAAGACTTCACAGTCGCCTGGACTAACTGACCAGGAATCCTCGGGGTTCCTGCCGCTACTTTCCCACCCCTGTGGTGCCTGACACTTATGGCTGGCTGCACAGCAGGGGCGGCTCGTTCCTGGTCCTCTGAAGCCTGCCTGTGTTTGAAGCCAGGTCCTCCTCTGGCTGCTGTCGACTGCTGACCGCTCCGCCTTCTTAGGCCCCCAGTTGCTGTGGCACAATGTTAATACAGTATATCATGTGGGGAGGGCTTAGACCTCTGCCCAGAAGCAGGATCTGAAGGAGCTACGGGCGAAACAAAGCCCAAGCTATGGAGAGTTCAGGCCTCAGGCAGACCCGGCCCTGTTCCTGGAGATTTTCGGCTCTGTAACCGGAGCTGGGGGTGGGGCCAGGCCTTCTGCCCAGCCAGGAGTGAGGTAGCTTGGTGCTTGCCTGGTGCCCAGGCCTGCACAAATACACTGGGCCAAGGGCGGGCCCTAGAGCTGTTTTCAGGCCCCACCCCACCCTTTCCCCCATCTCCTCCAGAGCCCCCCCAGGAAAAGCTCGGTTGGATGAGGTCATGGCTGCCGCGGCCCTTACAAGCCTATCCACCAGCCCCCTCTGTCTGGAGGCCCCAGCTGCAGCCTCCAGCCCAGGTGAGACTCAGAAATCTATGCTCAGGTAGGGGCAGAGCCCAGGACTGCTGTCCCCCAAGATCTTTCAGCCACCCAGCAACTGTGCTGGGCAAGTGAAGCCCCAAAGCTGCCATGCCATCTTGCACACATAGGTCGTGAGACCTCCTTGTGGAGTGAGTGTCCAGCCACTTGGGGCCTCTTGCTGCAGCGCCCCAATCCTTGAGCTGCCCACCTCCACTGTGAGCAACACTTTCCAGCCACTCTGCTTCCTGGCAGTGCCAAGGACCTCCTGCCTCTTCCTCTATTGGCTGGCTTCTCCCCAACACCCCCTGGCTAGTTCCTCCTTAGCCAGGCCCTCCTCCCCAAGAGGCCTTCTGCCCACCAAGCCCACAGAACAGGTGCCAGCTCAGAATTACACTTGACAGAATCTAGCAGGCAGCAGTTTCCACAGAGCAAGGTGAGGTCCTGAGGGCAGTATGTTCCTGCAGAGCCTGGCCTGGATGCCTGGAAGGAGGGTCTGTCACAGCCACCAGGCAGCTACAGCAGCAGCAATAACAGTGGAGACTGGGGCTGGGACCTGGCCAGTGACCAGTCCTCCCCCCCCACCCCATCACCTCCACTGCCCCCTGAGACAGCCCACTTTCTGTTTGGGGAGCCCACTCTCAGGAAGAGGAAGGTGAGCCTGGGTGTAACCCCAAAGGGTGGGCTGGGGGAGGGCAGCTGCTGCTGACCAGAGGCCCCTGTACCCCCAGAGCTCCGTCCAGGTCATGTTCCAGTGCCTGTGGAAGAGCTGTGGGAAGGTGCTGAGCACAGCATCCGGGATGCAGAGACACATCCGCCTGGTGCACCTGGGGTGCGGTGATGCTGGGGGCTGGGCCCGGGCGGGGCTGGCCAAGCTGTTGCTTCATCCCCATGTACTGTGTCCCTAGCAGCAGACAGGCAGAGCCAGAACAGAGCGACGGTGAGGAGGACTTCTACTACACAGAGCTGGACGTTGGTGTGGACACACTGACTGACGGGCTGTCCAGCCTGACTCCTGCATCCCCCACAGCTGCGATGCCACCGGCCTTCCCCCATCTGGAGCTGCCAGAGCTGCTCAAGCCCCCAGCCCTGCCCAGCCTGCTGCAGCCCCTGGCCCTGGCCCTGGCCCCGCCCCCCCTGCTCAGCTCTGTAGCTCCCCCACAGCTGTGCCACAGTAACCATGCCTACCAGGTGGGTGAGCGCACCGGTGGTAGCTGGGAGCAGGTCTCAGGGCGCTGTGGAGATGAGCAAGGTCCGGGCTGCAGTTCCCCCCAGGACTTCGTGGCACCCATCCACCTGGAGCTGCGGGCCACTGAGGTCCGGGCCTGTGCGCCAGCCTTGCCTTCCAAGCTTGGTGCCAATCTAAGGTGTGTGTGGGTGGAGGGCCTGGGTAGGTAGGTACCAGTGGAAAAGGTCTTAACCAACAATACTGTATGCCTCTTGTGTGTCCCCCTAGGAAGCCCCGTGGTGATGCCAAGAAGTGCAGGAAGGTATATGGCATGGACCACCGGGACCTGTGGTGCACAGCATGCCGCTGGAAGAAAGCCTGCCAGCGGTTCCTGGACTGAGTCCTACCCACTGGTGCTGCTGCCCAGCTCCCACCTCACCCCAGCCCAACTGGACAGCTCTGAGGGTGCCCCTGAGTCCAGGCCTTTTCTGGCTCTAGGGTCTACTATTCTCATTTGGGAGGGGCTGGGGAGTCGTTGGTCCTGGACTCCCAGAGATGTGGGCAGGGTCCTGCCACTCAAAGTGCCTCTGAAGAAACCAGCTTTTTGCACTAAAGCCAAACCATACCGCTGCCCCCTTGGCCCCAGGGGTTCTGCCCTCCTGGATACCCCACAGATCTGTCGAGGACGTCAATGGGCCCAGCTGCAGGGGCCAGTCCGACACGCACTTTGAGGGGTGTCAGCGAGGGAGCTCTCCCACCCGCACAGTGCGATGGCTGGAGGGCCCTGGGGCTGATGTTTTAGCATGTTCGTGAAGCTCAGGTATCTCATGTCTGGGCCCTACCAGGTGAGAAGAATTAAACATTTGGGGTTTTTCCAGAAGCCGAGTCTGCCTCTTGGGGGGAAGAAATGGGATTTGAGTCCTGTGGTGGGCAGGGCTGGTAGGAGGACAGTAACAAGCCACCGGCTGGGACTTGCCCTGGGGCTGCCTTTACCCAGGGTGAGGCCCGGGGAGAGACTGGTCTGAAACACAAGAAGCGCCTGCTTGGAGCAGCAACGTCCTGATTTATTGAAAGGGATCGCTTTGCAAGAATGTTCTATGCTAACCCGTCACAGAAAGGAAACCCGCAGGCAGGCTGGGAGCACACCTAGGCAGACAAGAAACTGCAAGACCCACTAGAGGGGGTGACCTTGACCTGTCCCGTGGCCACAGCAAAGCAGGACGGCAGCCGTGATTGCCCACTGACTGATTACAAAGCCCCCCTCCCCAAATATTAACACATCTTCATACAAACACAGGTTTATAATAATTAATATAAAGTCAGTATAATATAGATTATCCTCAGAAAAGATCAACAGTCTTCAAACACTGCCCTTTTTTGTCAATTCTGGTTTTGTTGACAGGTTGAAAGCATGTTGAAAAAATAAATATTTAAGAAAAGCCCACACAGCAGCCTTACTACAAGTGGCTCTAAAGGGTGGCATATGAAACACAACAGGATCTAAAAAATGAGAGACCACCATTTCAGTATGGCTTTCTGAAGTTGCACGTGTCACAGAATGAGCCAAAGTAAGATTACCTTTCATAATATTGCAAAAAAGTTCCAGTTTTTGTGTTTTTTCAGTTTTCTAAGAAGGAAGATGTGCAAAGTTGAAGCATAGCTGTGTCTTTTTGAGTCAGGTCCCTGTGGAGTCCTGGCAGTGTCCTGGTTCCCCAAACCCAGAGTCCAAATGCACAACCTGGTCAGGATCCAAAGCATAATACAAAAATCACGGTTTCCCTGCCCCTCAGCAACACCCCCATAACTGTATTTTCCACTTTGGTGTTGCAAACACCAAAATACAGATACAAACAAAAAAATACAAAATGTGAAATGTAATCTACACGTTCTTCCTCTTCATAAAAAAATATTTATTAGTTTGAACATTGATTTAAAAAAAGTCACTTAAAAAAAAAAATCACGTGTCCTCCGTGCCTCCTCAGGTGGCCGCGTTCGCCTGGGTCTTGGAGATTCCTCGAGCTTCAATTCACAAACGGGAGCAACAAACCTGCCACACAGCAGACACTTGGGGGTGGGGTGGGGCTGGGACCTCGGGTTCCAGTGCAGCACTGGATCAAGGAGTTGCCTCCGAGGCACTGGCAAGGCAGCCCCAGAAAGGCCAGCAGAGGTGGTGTGGAGGGCTGGGAGAGACATCCTGAGTGCATAGGCAGCAGGGCCTGGGGGTGCGCGCCCGAGACGCCAGGGGGTGGTACAAAATCAGAGACACCGGTAGCAAAGGTGTGGTTTCCAAATGTGTTTTATAAGAAAGTAAGTCTGTTTAGAAAAGGTGTTTAAAAAGCGGGAGGAAAGGTACAAAGTTCAGAAAGCCCTGGAAGGGGGCTTGAGGGGCTCAGCCCCGGACTCCCTCTAAGGGGCAAGCCCTGCAGCAGCCACAGTAGGGGCAGGCAACTGGAGGGCTGCCGGCCCTCTTCGGCTTAAGAACTCGCCCCGAGGAGCTCACAGCTTCCACCGAGGGGCAGCACGCAGCAAAACCCGCACCAGGCCAGCAGGGGTCCTCCAGTACGTGGGAGGAATAGTGGCGGACTTCTTTGAAAAATCCAAAACGGACTCCTCGCAAGGCTCAGGCCCTCTGGGACAGCACCACGCCCACATGGGCCAGCCCTGTCCCCCCAGCAGCGGCAGGTAAGGCAGCTGGCACTCAGGGAATGTCACCAGGGGACTCCTGGGACCTAAGTTATGTTTTGTGGGGTTTTCCTTTTCCCACCTAGACAGAATAGATGTGACACAGTAAAAAAGCTGGTCAAAGCCGTTTGGCTTGTGGTCTGAAAAAAGAAACCGGAACTCTCCGACTGGCGCTGGCGCTCCGCACCCTGCAGCCCTGCACAGCTCGGCGCTCACTCAGGCGGCAGCCCGCGCCGCGCCTGGCCTGCAAGATGGCAGCTCGGGGTCCGTCCTGCAGGCCGAGGGGAGCCGACTCCACAGCACTGAGCTGGCAGCACACAGCGCGCCCGAAAGGGAACCTTCACTCAGGAAAGCACAGAACATGGGGCGAGACCGTTCAAAACGAAAGCAAGAGGACAACACGCTAAAAGAAAAACAACCCCATTACAGTTTCGTCAAGTGAGAAAAATAATGCCGAACAAAATACTTTTCTGTAACTACCTTAATGTCTCTAAAATTTGGTTACCCAGATGGATAGGTGCAAGCAGCGCGCCACAGGTGCAGCGAGGGACACCCACCTGCGGCGTTAGCAGCAGCAAAGGCCGGAGCCTAGCTCCAGCGCGTCCCGGGAAGGGTCAGCAGGAGCCCCGGGCGGAGCCCAGGGTGGACGGGGAGGCCCGGAGCGAGCCGGTGAGGGCCGGCGAGGAGAGGCGCCCGAGGTAGCACCTGGCGCGGGCTCCAGCCGGTTCCGGGTGAGCACCAAAGCCCGGAGGTAAGAGGGTCGCAAGGCTTCTTCCACGTGGGCCTGGATTCCAGAGGCCGCCCAGGGGCACAGGCGCCCGAGGGGAAGGCCCCGGGTGGGACAGGCCTGGTCAGCGCGGCTCGAGGGCGCGCACACTTGGCTCAGGCCTGCCTGGGCAGCCGGAGGACAGGAGGGCTGCTCCAACGCGCCCCGTCGCCGCCGCCCCGGGCCCACGAGGTGCGGTGGACACCGGGCAGAGACGGGCCGAGGGGCCGCGCACGGGGCGGGCGGGGCAGCCTAGGAGATCCAGGCGAAGTCCTTGTCCTGCACGCCCTCCGGGCTGCCGGGTCCCCGCGGAGAGTCCTCGTCGTCCTTGTCGTCCCCCAGCAGCGTGTCCTCTGGCGCCAGGCCAACGTCCTCGTCGTCCTCCCCCAGCTCCTCCTCGCCCTCTGCACGCGGGTCGTCAGGGTCCTCCAGGTAGGGCCCGTCGCCCGTGAACAGCGCCTCGGGAGAGCCCTCGCCACCCCCGTGGTCCAGGGGCGCGGCCACCCCACGGCCCGCGCAGTCGGTGCACACACCGTGGCGGCGCGAGCCGTGCTTGATGCCCACGCTGGCCGCTGACATGAACACGCGGCTGCACACCTTGCACACGTACTTCTTGTCCTTGCTGTGCACCTGCGGGGACAGGGCAGTCAGGGGCTGACGCGGCCGGGCAGGGAGGAGGCACGGTCTCTGGTGGGGCAACGGAGGCAGTTTGTGCAGACCCCCATGGGGCAGAATGATAGGTGGCACCAACAACTGCGGTCACGGAGGCCACAACGTCCCGTCCCGTGTCGTGTCCCCCCACCCCCCGCGCGTGCACTCCTGGAGCCCCCTTCTCCTAGCTGGCCCAGGTCCGATGGGCACCACATACTGTGTCCAGGCTCCAGGAACACTACTCTTTCTGCCTATGCTTCGCTCCCTCCAGACCGCTGCCAGGGCAGGTCCATGATGCAGGAGCCTTTGTGCTGGGCCTGCCATACTCTGGGGCAGAGGGAGCTGGCCTAGCGGCCTGGTGGGGGCAAAGCAGGGAAAGACCCTTGGCTTAGGCCTGGATGCCCAGGCAAGGATAGGGAGACCCCAGCCACAATCAGAAGCTGGGTCCAGCCTGTATCTTGGTGCCAGGAAGCAGAGCAGTGAAGGGCAGCAGGAGAAATGGCAGCCAGACTGGTGAGGCCCCGCCACATGGTCCCCAGACCCAGGCTGTGCCCAGCAGGGAGAGAATCACCCAAAGAACAGCTTCAAGAAGCAAGACCTGAAGTCCTGAGCTCCAGCAGGGGACAAAAGCATACACACCTGGGCCAAGTGGTCAGCTATGGAAGGAGGGTGCCCGGCGCCGGCAGGGACAGGCCGACATGGGTCTGCAAGCACCGTCCCTGCCAGCCTGGGGAGCCCTGGGCCACTGGTACCTGCTGTGTCCCTCAACATACAAGCCCTTGCCTTGTCTTCCAAAGACTTGGGCCAGTAGGCTCACAGTCCCTGGGCCGGGGACCCCAGGTTTCCAGGACTCCAGGGTCCCCTCAGCTCCTCTCTGCCCTGGAGGCACAGCACGACAGGCTGCAGGCTGCACACTGGCTGGGGAACACCGCAGGCTCTGCTCTCTCCCGCTTTGTGCTCCGTTCTCCACTGTGAGCAGCAAACCTGTCCCCAAAGAACTGCACCAGTCCCCGCCAAAAGAAGCCTCCTCCATGTGTGAAGACCTCGGCGAGCAGTCACTGCAGCCCTGGCTGGCACCTTGGGAGTCACCGTTCACTGTCCTTCACCTCCTCAGGACAGCTTCTCCTCTGGAACCTGCCCTTCCTGACCCTTGCCCTGGATTCTTTCATTATCTTGTTTTGCTCTATTTTAAACCTATCTTCTGTTTCCTTCCACATAAAATAAAATAAAACTTCTAGAGCAGTCTCAGGAAGACTTATATTCCCAGTGAGGACCATTAGGCAGGAGCAGCCCAAGAAGGACTGCAGGAGCCAGGGCTCCCTCTGAGGGCCCTGGGGCCTGGGCGCTGTGTGATATTCAGGAAGTGACAGGGCTATCTTAGGGAGCCTCTCGGCAGGACCAGATGGTCAGGCGTCACTTGTCCTGACAGACACATGCTTAGGAAGCAACCAAGGGAAGGATGCTGGTTGCCATGGCAACTACCACCAAGTCCCCAAGGGGTGGTTGCAGAGCCAGGGCTGGCCCACCCCACAGGAAGTGGCCAGCTCTCAGCCACCAGGTCACTATCCCTGGTGACACTGGAGGGCATGCCACGTGCTGAGGAAGAGGTCATAGGTAGAGCCAGCACCAGGCTGTGATACAAGTGGAGGCTTGGCTGAATCAATGGGCTGCGGAGTTGCCCTCTGACACAGAGGGCTCCTCCTTCTCAGTCAGGCACCCCAGAGAAGCTACACACAGACCCTTCTTAGAAAAAGATGAACCCCAAATGACTAAGTGCATTTTTCTAGGTGTTAAGATTCAAGCCCAGCCATAAATTCCAAGGTAAACAAACCAGCAGATGCTACCCAAGGCAGAAAAGGACTTTCATATGTGTCAAGATGCTTTACTGCAACATTAATATAGTTTTGCTTAAGAAAATCCTATTTGCTGGGCATGGTGGCGCACACCTGTAATCCCAGTACTCGGGGAAGCTGAGGCAGGAGGATTGTTACAAGTTCGAGACCAGCCTGGGCTAAAAAGTGAACACGAGACCAGTGTGAGCCGCACAGGGAGACGCTATCTCAAAAAAAAACAAAAGTTTAAGAAAAAAGAAAATCTTATGAGGGGCTGGCCAAATAGCTCAGAGGATTAAAGCACCTGCCTAGGCAGACAGCAGCCGGGGTTCGATCCTTGCATGCCATGCTGGCCCCAGCCCCAGGGCACGATGAGGTGGCGATTGAGACTGGGCATAGTGGTGCACCTGTAATCCCAGCACTTGGGAGGCTGTAAACAGGAGGATCACTGAGTCCGATCTATGCAGTGAGACTCTGTAGACCCAGTCCTAAATAAAAAAAAAAAAAAAAGTAAAAACAAAAATAAAGAAAAAGAGAATCCTACAACCACCACTGCTGAGTCTGTTCAGTCCCTACCAGAGCGAACAGAAAGGTCTGCTTCCCTCTGGGCAGGAAAATCATAGAAATGGGTACATATGTTCCTCCATGGCTTTGTAAATTGGTCTGTGAAACCATCTCTGGTTGACTGAATTAAACAAGAGCAAACACAACTAGAGAAAAAGTTCTAAAGCCTGCCCCCTAGACCTCAGTGGTTCTAAGCGGCTGTGAATCTGTCCTTGGTCTGCCTTTTGTGTGTCCTGGACCCTTCCTGCTCCCAGTGTCCCCACCTCACAGGAGACACACACATGAGATGCAGACCCGCGCAGTGCCCATGCCTGCCTGGCCTTGGTTGTTTATCACCCTCCTAGTAGCCTACTGCTGCCTTTTGAGGGCAAACCTGCCTCCATCCCACAGCTTCACCCTTCAGCGCTTGCTACCCCACAGCTACCACCTGGGGCAGGTGCAGGGCACAGGCTGGCCAACGCCGGGCAAGGCGGCCAGCAGGTGGAAAGTGGTGATGGGTTCTTCTGCACCCAGGCCTGAGTGCAGCCACGGGAGGCTCTGCCGGTGGGTACAGCGCCTCCTGCCTGCCTGCCTCCCCCACAGAGCGGACCCTGCTTCTGGGTGTCCAGGTGCAGCCTGGCCCTGTGCAGCCGGCACTCACCAGCGTGTGCCGCTTCATGTGTTCACGCCGTGTGAACTTCTTCCCGCAGATCTCACACGGGTAGGGCCGCTCCCCCGTGTGTGAGCGCATGTGCCGCTTGAGGATGCACTGGTGCATGGCTGAGAAGCTGCAGTAGGGGCACTTGAACTTCTTCCTGATCACTGTGAATTCATTCACTGAAAAACAGCAGTGGAGGTGTTAGGGTGACAGCAGGGTTTAGCCACCTCATGCACTCCTCCATGACTGTCCACCCACTGCCACAGGGACTCTTCAGCCTGAGCCCTGGGAGAAGGTCACGAAGTGGAGGCCTGTTGAGGCCCCAGGGCCATATCCCAGCAAAGGAGAGCTCAGCCCTGCCAAACTGCACAAGCTAGTTCAATCCTGTCCAGACCTCCCTGTCCCCTCAGACCCCAAGCATGTGCAGGAGTCGCACCAGGTACAAGGACAAGTCAGACACAGCCTCTGGGAGGCAGACACGGGGCCAGATGCGGTGCAGGCACAGAAGACCACAGAGGGGGCAGGAGACACCACCTGCCAGAGAAGCTGCCTGCCAGTTTAATCCGTGCTGTCCTGCCACCACACCTCCTACAGTGTCCTGGGCCAGCCTTAGCAATGTGGCTGACCCAGAGGTGGAGGCCCCCACCAATGCAGGATCTGGAGATGGACCAGTGCAGAGAGCAGCTCAAGGACACTGGCCCTGGACACCTGCAGGTCGTGGCAGTGCCAGGAGACCCCCGGGTCTCCCACGAGCCCTCAACTCACATTCCTGAGCCTGGCAGTCCATGGACAGAAGTTTCAGACCGCTCGGAGCTGACACCAGGCTCCTCCATGGCAAGCCACAGGGACTTCACAGCTTGTCACCAGTCACCAGAGCCACACCAGGTCTCCATGCAAGGTTGAGAACATTGTCCTCTAGGCCCTTTCACCAGAAGTGAACCATTTCCTTACCCTGGGGGGCACCAGCGGGGTGTGGTGTTTTCCTACATGGTCGAAGGGTGAAACCCATCACTCACAGACACTGTGTCTCCATCAAGTCACGTGTGCAAATACATACACATGTATGTCCTTACAGAACCGGAATCCAATGTGTACACTGTACAGAACATAATATTTAACATGGTGCAACCTCTTTGAAATGGCATGTTTTGGTTAGTTTGCTTTGCTTTTTGGTTTTGTGCTAATACAAGGGATTGAAACCAGACCCTACACACTGAACTACATCACCAGTCCTTTTCTTCCTTTTTAGGGGAGGGTTTAGAGGGTGTTCAGGGTCTCACTATACTAGATCAGACTCGTAGTGATCCACCTGTTACAGCCTCCCAAGAGCTGGGATTCCAGGTGCGCACCACCACGCCCAGTCTCAATTGCCGCCTCAGCATGCCCCAGGGGCAGGACAGACACAGCAGGCCCAGGGATGGAACCCCAGGCCCCTGCACCCGCTTACAGGTGCTTTAATCTGCTGAGCTATTTAGTTGGCCCAATTTTTCCATTTTTGAGACAAATTCTTGCTAAATTACTAAGCCGCCCAGGCTGGGCTCAAATTTGGTATTCCCCCTCGGCTCCCCAGAGTGCTGGGATTATGGGCGTGGGCCCAGCTATAATGCAGGGCTTCTGCCCCTGGAGGAGAGTGGGCCGGCCGCCGGGCCCTGGCTGCGGCTTCCTGAGCGGCGCTAGGCCACCCCAGGCCCTGTGCAGGGAGGTTGACCGCACTGGGCCCCCGCAGCTCAGCTGGTACAGCTGTACACCCTCGATGAGCGGCAACTGGAGGTGCGTGGCCTGCAGCGCGGCAGGGACAGCACGGCAGGTGGGCACGTCCAGCGCTGGGTCCGGCGGGCTGCATGCCAGGGCCTAACCTGGTCTTCACCTCCCCTGGCACCCAGGAGACCTGGCCACAGAGCCATTCTCCTCTTTGAAGCCTTCCCACCTCTCTGGATCCTCGGCCTCATGGGTCCTGGGTCCCTTTCTTTCCTTTCAAAGCTGCCACGCTCTCTAAGAAGGGAAGGAAACTCAGGAAATGGGTTTCTACATGATTTTATTTAAAACAACTTTTGGGGGGCCAGGGAGATGGCTCAGTAGGATAAGTGCTTCCCTGGCAAGCTCAAGGGCCTGAGTCCAATTTCCGGTTCCATCAAAAATAAATAAATACATAAATAAAAATAAAAATGAAACAACTTTTGGGAAACATATTCACTGTTTCTATAAACTGTGAAAGTTAGAATTTTGAACTAGCGCTGGGCGTGGTGTCACGTACCTATAATCCCAGCACTCTGGAGACTGAGGCAAGAGGATTGCTGTAAGATAGAAAATAGAGGTCAGTGTGGGATGCGAAGTGAGTTCAAGGCCAGCCTGAACTGCGCAGTAACACCTTGTCTCAAAAAGACTAAAAATAAATGAAATAAAATTTTGAATTACCAGGGAGATAGCTCAGTGGACTAAGCTGCCTTGCTGGCCACCAAAACTGGGTGTGGTGGCACACGCCTGTAACACCAGCACTGGGGAGGCTGAGACAGGAGGATCACTACCATCCGAGATGTGTAGTGAGACCCTGTACCAAATAAAAAAAAGATTACAAAAAAAAATTTTTTTTAATTTTTTATTAATTTGTGTGTGTGTGTGTGTGTGTGTGTCCAGCTCAGCCCACCAGGGGGCGGGGCTGGCTGGCATGTGGTGCTGGGGGATTGAACCGCGGTCCCTGTGCTTTGCTAAGCTTGTTCTAAGTAGGTGCTTTAGACCTCTGAGCCATCTCACCAGCCCCACAAAAAATTTTTTTAATTACCACATATATTAGCCTCTAGTGGTTCATGCCTGCATGCCAAATAATACTTTCATAGGACATTTTTTTTTTCTCTTAAAAAACAATTTAAAGGGGCCAGGGAGATGGCTCAGTAGAATAAGCGCTTGCCTGGCAAGCGCAAAGGTCTGAGTTCAAATCCCTGGTTCCGCAAAAACAAAAACAAAACAATTTAAAGCAGACATGTAGTAAAGAAAGCTTGCTCAAGGTAGAGATGCAGCTGGAGACATTCACCAGCCAGGCATGGTGTGTACCGGTCATCCCAGCTACTTAGGAAGCTGAGGCATGAGGATCACCAGTCAGGGACAGCCTGGGCAAATTAGCAAGACCCAGTCTCAAAATAAAATTTTAAAAGGATTCAGGTAAGGTTCAGCGGTAGTGGTAGAGCACCTGCCTGACATGCGTTAAGGCCCAGTTCAATCCCTCTACTAAAAACCTAAAACCTGTGCATTGGAAGCCACATTCCGGTGACACATTTTGCTCTTTTCCTGTCACAACCACAACAAACATAGTCTGGGTCTTGCAGTGCCGCTCCAGGGAGCTTCCTTTCCGCCTCTCCCGCCTAGAGACACAGCTCATGGGCCAGAACGCTTCCCCAGCTCTCCACCTGCACCTTGGCGCTGCCTTCTCGGCGCTGTCTTCAGGAGACATTTTTGAGATCCTTTAACTATATCTGCAATGACTCTTAACGAGCCAGGTCTGTCACAGGGTCTGGGAGACAGGATGGCTTCGTGGGGGGGGGCGCACAGCCAGCCATGATTTAGCTAATGGCTGGGGCACTGAGGGGAGAAGTCCCAGTGGCCACTGCTAGCTCTGCAAGGTAGCCGGTGCTGCGGTGGGATGCAGCGCCCTGTGCCAGGTGAGGGCGCTGCCTGGGGTGGTACCCAGGCCACCTGCTGTTATTCAAGCAGTTTTTTACAGGGAAACAAACTCCCGGAGCCCATCTCCCCAATGCCTATAGTTCTGCTGTGAGCTGCTGTCTGCATCTTCCAGCGCTTCCAAGGACTAGATGCCTTAGTCTGCAGGTCCCTTGAGTCATGTCTGGGATTCTCAATCCACAGGGTGATGGTGGAGGAGAAGGGCAGCTAGGCCAGGGTAGAGCCCTTGACCTCCGGGCAGAAGAGCCTGGGTTTGAGCCCAGCATCTGGCGAGATGAGGCCCCACACTCTGCCCTCAGGGAGGGATACAGCCTTCCAAGGGCACAGTTCCCAGGCAGGGGAGAGGCTCAGCCCACCCACTCCCTGGCTGTTGCACCCCTGCTTCTCCACAGTGGTTCCCAAGCCTGGGTTCAAGAGCAGCTGAGCATCACAGGGGGGCCGGCAGCTCAGAATGCTAAGAAATTTTTCCTTTCTGGGAGGTGCTGGAAATCAAACTCAGGACCTCCCGTTTTCTAGGCAGCTGTCACATCTCTGAGCTAAATTCCTGGCACCTCTTCCTTTTTCTGATACGTTACCAATGACACTGTGTTGCTGTTAGCATTTTTGTGAATACTACAACCTTTAAAATCAACCTGGGAAAAGAGCAGTTGACAGCAATGAAGTGTGCAGATCATTAGATCCAGTCAGGGCCTCCCTGTGGCCTAAACCTGGAAGCCTTTTGCTGGGAACCCAGTTATTCTCAGGATGAACAAGGCCTCCACAGTGAAAGCTGAGGAACAGACCTGCAGACGCTGCCTGCCCCACCCCACTCTGAGGCAGTGGCCCGGCTGTGCCGCTGGCTCCTGCTCGGGCCCCTCCCAGCCGGCCAGGACCGCAGAACAAGGCCTGGCAGCAGTCACTGCGCCTGGGAACCTCTTCTCTGGGTACAGGAGAGCACATCAGCAATCCCAGTTTCTCAGGAGACTGAGGCCGGAGGGTCACAAATTTGAGAATAGCCTGGGCAATTCAGTGAAGCACTATCTCAAAATAAAGTTAGAAAGTAGGCGTGGTAGAGCTTGCCGGCAACCCCAGCACTCAGGAGGCTAAAGCAGGAGGACTGGGGTAACTTTGAGGCCAGCCTGGGCTACACAGAGAGTTCAAGGCCAACCTGAACTGAAGAAACAACAATAAATAAAGTTTTAAAAGGGTAGGGATGGGGCTGGGGAAATAGCTCAGTAGAATAAGTGCTTACATGGCAGGCGCAGGGTCCTGAGTTCAATCCCTGGTACTGCAAAAAAAAAATGCTAGGGAGGTAGCTCAGTGGTAGAGCATCCATGCGCTCAGCCCCCCAAAGAAAACACCTCTGTCATAATAGTGTCGGAGACTGCAAGAAACTGTCCCTGATGGGGCCAGGGAGTTAGCTCAGTAGAATAAACGCTTGCCTGCAAGCTCAAGGGCCTGAGTTCAATCCCCGTTCTGCCAAAAAAA